TATTGCTATGCTTCTGCAGTTCCCCTCTTCTAAAATATAAAACAGCCTGAGGTAAAATGTGTGCATCCCACTGAACAGGGAAGTCTTCAGAGCACCCACAGCTTGTAGGTAAGCGAGTCATTAAACACATTTAGCACTGACGGCATGAAAATAATTGGGAACTAGCCTTTCCGCCCTTGGAAATGTTCTGCATGTAGAGAGTTATTTTAAAACCAAATTAAATCTCGGCATGGAATTCTAATGCTATCGTTTAACCAAATCTAATAAGTGCAGATTGATTTACTAAGACTGTTTTCAAAGTATTTAATGCATTGGTGACATTTTATAGAAAAGCAAATTACAGGAATCTGCTTTTAAAAGTGTGATTGTATCTAGATGGGCAGATAAAATCAATACAAATTAGCCAACATGTTGTCTGTACTGAAATCGAAAGTTAGAATGCTTTGGAATACTTTCTTGCATACCTGACCAGTTTATTTTGGGGAAAAACCAAACAATTCATAAGATTTGGGGGGTTATTAAATCGAGATATAAATGACATGTAATACTGTACTAGCTTTAAGTTTACAGTTTAGAGTTTTAAATTTAGATTAAGTTTCTGAAAATAGTTACTCAGCAACTATCTCAAATTTACAAAAATCTACCACGTTAGATACTAGGCTCCAGGTTCTTTCTGCTTTTTTTTTTTCCTTGTGTGTCATACTTTGGCTTGTAGATCTGTTTATTTCAAGATATATTTATGCCACCTAGAATGTAAGGGAAGGGGAAAATACTACTCAAAGAAAAATAGGTAACTTTAGAAAGCTGTGCAAGTGATAATAGAAGAGAAAGACATTTACTTCATTAATATTTAAAATAACTAGCTGTCCCTTAGGGTATATGGGAATTTAGCACAACCCATCAAGCCCCAAAACAGATGATTTAAAAGTAGGTAATAGAGGAAATAAAACCTGCACAAAATTAACAGCTACTTTAACCTTTGTAGCAATGTCAGAAACATTTCTTTTAGGACAATATTTTCTTTTGTTCTTGTTATCGAACAGGAATTAAGCACTTGCCTGCATCATGTCTATTTTCTACCTCATAAATTTTACTTAGTATCGATAAAAACAGGGACTTTTGTCCCCAAGGCACTTACAAATCAATGGGGAAATGAGGCAGATTCTGCTTTTGTTCTTAATTCTGAAATGTGCTCCAGAATTGCTGTAAATTGAGTATTCGTATCTCCCTCCCAATTCATAGGTTAACGTGTAAATCGTTGTGGGCTAGGACTTGAGAGGGGATTAGGTCGCCAGGGAAGAGCCTTAGAGCCAGACACCGCCCTTACAAATGCTCCCCTCAGTAGACATCGAATCTGCCATCGCTTTGATCTTTAACTTCCCAGCCTTTAGAACCATTAGACATAACATAGTGTTGTTTATTTTTTTAATTTCTTTTTCACTGCATGGTTTAAATTACCCAGTCTGTGGTATTTTGCCATGTAAACCACAGTCCATGGCGGGCTGTTAGATGCGTGTCTTAGCGCCATCTGGGCTCGCTGGGTGCTGCTGCCCCATGCCCCGCTGCGAGCTGCCCAGTTTCACAGTGGACCTCTGTTCGAGACAAGTTTCTCAGGCTCTAGCAGACAATATCCCTGAGAGGTTGGAGTTGTCAAATTCTTTAGTTATTTCTAAAGGTGTTGATAACATGTTCCTTGCCAATAATTTTGTTGTTTTCTCAGCATTCTGAAAGACCCTGCTTGTCTTTATGCAAGAGCAGAAACATGTGGACCAGGAGTGCGGGGTGGAATCAGGGATGTATGTTCAGAGTGAAGCCTGCAGCCACAGAAGCAAGAGCAGACGACACCCAAACAGGTGGCCCGGGGGGCAATGCCAGTCGTGTGAGCACCCTCACTGCCAGCCCTGGCGCTGTCCAGGCCATCATGGGAGCTTAATTCACATGGCTTGGGAGTTCTGCTGGTGTTAACGACTTCTGCTGGTATTGCTGAGCACCTGTCCCTCCTCTGCTTCCCTCAGCCACCCAATTCTCCTAGGCCTGGAGACCTCTTGGACAGGCTAGTGCCCGTACAGCCTTTTCCTCCCAAGCTCTTAGGTTCGGGGGCACTTGGGGAATTTCCACCTGGTCCATGAACCACCCGGGCAGCTCTTATCTGCCAGCCCCTGTCTGTGTTTCTGTTACCCACCCTCTAATGTCCTTGGCCCTCACAAAGCAGTGCTCTTTTCTTCCAGTGTCTTTCTCTTGCTTCCCCTATTCCACACCACCTCAGCCAATGGAATCTTCCTCTGGTTTGGGAATATCCAGCAAAATCTTGAGAAAGTGGCCCTCCTTATGTAGTCTCCCAATCTTTTTGTTTATGGCCTACTTTTATGCTCTGAATCCTAAAGAGCTTATCTACTGAATAATCTCTTGACTTCTGCTTTTGTACCACAATAACTTAGCTCAGACAATGAATGTCTTTACTGAAGTGGGAGGGCAGGATGATGGAAGGTATTACCAGTGTATGGTGAATGGAAGTTACCAGGTTTTTTCTGCCTTCCTGCCATTGGTGCCTATGATTGACACCTGTCTCATATGTATGCCTCATATGGTGACACCTGGAGGGTGGCGTGGGCAGGTATAGGTGGGTGCTTCTGAGCTGAGAGAGTGAGCATATAAGGGCAAAAGAGGACGATGTGGCATGACTGTAGCGGGGAGAGCCGAGAGCCTGGTGAACGGCCCCATGAGGAAAGCGTACAGTGATTCTCAGGGGTTCCAAGTTGCTGCCTCCCTGCTGGCTTGTCTCCCCTAACCTGTGGGGTGATGCCAAGGGCTCCAGGTTTCTCTTTCAAGCTGTCTGAACCGATGATGAGCCTATCTGTCCGGGATGGGTGCACACCAACCAGCCATCAAGTCACACCACGTGATCCCACTGCCTTTGTAATATTTATTGAGCAACTGGAGGCATGGTGGAAGAAAGGATCACTCAAAAATGAGAAAGAATTGGCCCCTGTCCTTGAAAGGAGTTTAAAGTCTAATGGAGTGATAAGTGCATCCTTCAAAGAATAAAAGGTAGTAAGTAAAGATTGAGAGAGGGCAAAACATTGTATGAAGGGTCTAGCTTTAAGGTTCTAAATGGGGCTTTGTATTATGGGCTGTTTTAAACTCTGCCCCAAAAGGTGCTGATGGTTCAGCCTCTTCTCATACAGCCTCTTCAGCCAAGTGGAAGGAACAGGGATCCTTTCTGTCCCATCACAGCTTTGCAGGTAATGGTGGAAAAATCACCCTCAAAAATGTGGACTTGGGCCCTCCCTGGTGGCGCAGCGGGTTAAAGCACAGCACAAAGAAGCTTAAGCCACTTCCACATGGGTTTGATTCCCGCCTGTCCCGCAGGCGATCCACATGGCGAGGCAGACCTCTCCTCACCTGCCCGCTGCTCCACTCAGCAGTGTACTTCGTCGATCTGCCTGTTCTGCTCCCCACTCTGTCTCTGGTGAAGCCTCTCACCCTTTGCATCTCTGACCTGTACCCCAGTTCTGTATGAATAAATAAATCTTACAAAAAAAAATGTGGAGTTAGGTGGGGTGGGTAAATAAAGGGAAGTTGTGATTTTCTGTACTATGATGAAGAAGAAACTTCTGCCAAGATTAAATACATGAATAAAACCAGAGAGTATGTACATAGGATAAGAAGATGCAATTAAAAATTAAATTGTGGAGTTAAGAAGCATTTTCTGGAGAAACTGAGGCATTTTGGGATCTGAAAGAACTTGAATTACTAGTAATAAAATATACTTTTATGCCAGTCTATGTTTTTAATATTTATAATCTCATAAAATCTTCTCCATAAAGGATATACTATTTTTATTATTTCCATTTTACAGATGAAGAAGCTGATAGAGAGGATAATTAACTCACCTGAAAGTACACAGCAGACTTGGAATGGCAGTCTGACTGTGAGGGCTGTGCCCTGAATTGCTGTGATAGCCTACCTTTAAGGAAGAAGCTGACAAATGCAACGAAGAGCTCAAATTAAAGTCCAAGGTAGGAGGGAGAAGGGTGTGTAGGGACCTAACTAAGGCAGAGGGGTACTGCTGGAGCATAGCCTGGGGGTACACACTCTAGGCACCTCATCTATATATCTTTTGCTCATAGGGATAACTATTACTGACAAATGTACCCTTGTGTCATACCTGAGAACAGAAGCATTCAGGGCCCTGTGATGCCAGTAGGGATCGTTTGGACAGTCTCAGGGCAGAGAATCAGCCTGAAGTCCCTCTGATCTGTTTCTGGCACTGTACCAGGTGTGAAGGTTTATGCATGCCCTTCAGGGACACACCTAGGCATCGGGTCTTACCCATACACAGTGTCATTGTCTGCTTTCAACCTGGATCAAAAGGCTCTAAGAATATCATTTGTCAGAGAAGTTCATGCAGGAAGGTGGCCATGAGGCCATCTCTAAGACAGAAGCGGGGTATAAAACTCTTAACTACTGGTGTGGAAGAAGCAAAGGGGGAAGTGGATCAAAAATAGTTGTGAGAAGATTTGCCTCCTGTAAGACTGCAAAGGTCTTCCAGGGGATCTAGATGGCTTCTCTGAGTGTGTAGGTTTGAACTCAAAACAAATTAACTCAGAACTACATCTAAGTAGGGGAAAAAAATAACATTAGTTTCTCAAGTTATTTAAATTAGCACCACCAGACAAATCCTGGAAATCAAAAGTGAGGGAATTAGTGAATTCTCAGAAACATGAGTGTTGAACCTGAAAGAGTGAGGTTTAAGCGACAGGCTGTATATTTGAATATGTGATTACTAGGATACTTGTGAGATTAGTTCACCTGTAAATCCATTCATGAATGAAACCTTAGCTTTAGTTGCTAAGTATTAGTACGGCTGTTTTAAGTGAGCTCTTTGGGGGATTTCTTTATAACACGAAGAACCCACCATGGGCGTGGGGAGTCAGTCCCTCAGGAGGATTGTGGGCCCCTGTCCCAGCTCTGACACTTTTTCATTGTGTGTAATCTTGGACAAGCCTCTTAGCCTTTCTGTGCCCAAGTCTTCGTTTCTTTAGAGACAAGCCCTAAACTGTGAGCTCAGTAAAATAGTGTAGTAGAAAACTTTGGAAAAGAATGTGTAATGCAGACCAAAGGAATGCATGCTTATCTGCAAAAGGCAGATAACTCGGCCCCTATGGGTTTGATAACAGTGAAGACTAAACTGTGCTTTTTATCAAGCTCAAATTATATTTCCAAATGAGAGGGTGTGCCTACAGGTATGGGGGGGGGGTGCTCTCCTGCCATTCTCATCTGTAATCAATCCCAGGACTTTAGACAGGAGATTTAAACAGCAATCACTTGTGCTGTCGGTGGCAACATTGGCACCTTGTGATGCTTGCCAGTCACAGGATGAAATTAATTAAATGGAACGCATCTGGGAGTTTAGATTGTCTTCTTAATCGAACCCAGGACACCTGAATGGGAGCCTCTGCACTGCTTGAAATTCAGAAGTGACCTTTGGTTATCTGGTTCTCAGCCTCTCTTTCTGTGGGAGCCCTTAGACAGTGGAGCGGACACTCTGGCTTTTAACTTGTGTTATAATTGCTGCTGCTCATTAACCCCCTGGCTCGCCTGCAGCCTATAACTGCTGCTAGTTGTCTGCTTGCAAGGTGACTGCAATTACTGCTGCTGTTCATAAGACACAGTTATGAAAACAAATGGCCGTCTTTTAGATTGTAAATCATTAGGCTGTAATCTCTTAAGGGTAAAAACCAAGGCCACTGACTTGGGAACTAGCAACAGAGCAACTCTGCAAGTGTTTGCCAGTCATATCTCACCTCCTATTTGTTTCTGGCTTCATAATTTACAAGGCATTTACACACACACACACACACACACACACAAATATAACACCAGCAGCAGCATTTAAATTTAAGCTGTTGTCATTCGGTATTTAACAAAATTGGTTGGAATTGTGGTTCTCAATTGTGGCTACCTATTAGAAGTACCTGGGGGTATTATTAAAAATGCTAGTGACTGGGTCTTCTCCTCAGTCCAACCGAAGGGAAACAGTGTTTTGCTTATTTAGTTTTCAGCTACCAGGTGGTACTAACATGCTGCCAAGTATGAGCACCTCTGCTGACCCAGAAACACCACGGTGTAAGTGGCAGGAAGCTGGTTTCTAGGCCCATTTCTGACATGAAAGAGCTGTCAGAGGGAGAATCTTTTATAAGTTGAGAATTGGATCTCTGACTGTATTGTTAGTTCCAGTGGTAGTAAACAGCACAACCTTGGAGCAAGCAATACAAGTACAGCATGTACATATCACAATCAACCCTGCAGTTTCTGCAGCCTCTATTCATCTCGGCTATTCATTAAATAACAATGATCCAGGCTCTTACACGGGAAATAAAACATTCTTGGTAGACAGACTGATTGAATTAGGGTGTTTTCAGGAGACAGGTATTATGGGAGGAAGGTCACATTGACAACCTAAGGAAGTGCCTTGCAAAAGGCAACAGTGACAGACCCTGCGGGCTTCTGTCCTGAGTCCAGTCAGAAGTGAGCACATTCCAACATCATCCTGCCTTCCCCAAACTCATGAAACTGGCTTCTGCTTCACTGCGTCTGGATGTTGCGGGGCTGACTGCATTCTGGGGGCAGATGATCAGAACTTCCTGACGTCCAGGAAATCTACTAGTAATCAGGAGCTCATTTTGGTTTACATTCAGAGAGAAACCCTTTCTCTTAGAGCTCTCAAACTTTCTACGGTCATGGTCAAGTCAAGAATAATTCTGTCTGACCTGCATAAAGGTCATGTTGTAAACTCAACTTAGTAAGCCAAGAGTGTATTTCTCATCTTTCAGAGTTGAGTCTCTCTTCAGGAAGTTCCAACACTTTCTTGGTTGATATGGATGATAAATAAATGTCTATAGGTGATAATGTGTTTGTTCTTAAATCCTGAGCATAACATCTTCTTTACAGATATCAAAGATTCACAAAAATATTTTTAAAGTATTAATATATATTTAACATGATCAAGGTGGCCCTTACATTGCCTACTTTTCTTTGCATTTTCTAAAATGCAAATGACATGTCGCTGACAATTGTTGATCAAACATGTGATTATATTATATGATTATGCTAGTTCTCTGGATCTCCTCATTTATAACCTTCTGAGCAATGATTTTCAGGCAGACATTTCAATTTATATGTTGTGCCATAGCTGATAAATGTCCCTAAAAAGTGCCTCATGAAAATATCCAAATGTCTTCAGTTCTGGGGATGTGACAATTCATGAATTTTTCAGAGATAGGATTTTGTGAAAAGCAGCAGAAAGTTATTCTATCAGAGGAAACAGTTTTGGTCTGGAGCTATAACTTGGTAAATTTTTTATTTGGGTGATGTGTTTTCATTAAACAAAGCTATATGAGAACAAATGCGTCTATTATGTTTGAATTGGATTATTTTTTATTGCGGGAACATTGACTTACAGCATTGCATGATGGTGGAGTATTCACCACCATCCAACTAAGGGCTGTAAGTTCACAACACACCCACCACCGAGGTACCTGGAGCCCTCTGGCCTAGCCAGTAGGCTGCCTCGTCCTTGGCCTTCCCCTGCTGGCCTCAGTGCGGTGCCTGACCAGTTACCTACAGGTGGTGTCACGTACACCAGCAGGTACCATTGTCACCCTGTCTTTCATTATACTTATTGTTTCCAGTCCTGCAAAATGAACTGATTCTAGCCCTGAAATTCTGCAATGAATTAATGGAATGATGTTACCCAGTTTATAAATTCATGTGTGTGTGTGGTTTTTTTTTTTTTTTTTTTTTTACTGGGACAAAACCCCAAAGCATTTGGCTCTGAAATACACTAAAATGCTAAAATATAAAGATACTCAGATGGTTCTTCAGCATCATTTTCTCAGGGTCACTAAACATAGAGGGAGTGATTGTCTAGGACCATGCTGGGCACATCAGATGTTGTCTGCAATTGCGAGTTTGCCCAGAGATTTTGCCAGGTGGGGAGAATGGAGGAATTGTTGACTGCAATACATGTGTGTGACCTTAGGAAGAAAAATACTGAGCAAAGTCGGGAGGGGCTGCACAGCAGTGGAAGGCAATATGAATCATATGGATCAAGCTTGTCATTTAGATTTCTACCTGGAATTTCAAATTCATCACATCCCGAAAGCAGCTGTGGTTTATGGAAGGTCATGAACATTGTCTGGTGTCCATATATTTCACCTTTGGGTTTTCAGTTGGATAGAGAAGCCCTAAAGGATTTTGTGGTTTTGACTATATTGGATGTCTGAAGTTTCATCTTCCAAATGTTAGAAAGGGAAAAAAAAATGATCTTTTTGTAGTTTTCATGTATTTTAGAGCACACACAAAAAAAGCTTGAATTTGATGCCTCCATATATATTTTCTGTCTCTCCTTTTCTTTACCCCTTTACAAATTGACTTATAGCATATTAGTGGAGCCAGACTCCCTCAGGAGTTGGAGAAACTTCTATGCTTCCATACCTTGAACCCCCATTTAACTTGGTCCTGTAATTCGCTCATCCTGAGGATGGAGTATCAACCCTTTGTTTTGGGATTAAAATTACCTTTTGTACATGCTTCCAACTCTCCTTCCTGAGGCTTACGAGAATGGCAGTGTGCTTCCAATTTTCTTGCCCCCTTCAACTTCAAATGAGTGTCCCACCACTGCAAAACTCATTTTTTATCATTTTGTGATGCAGAATTATGAGAAGAATTGTGGGGTAATAGGATGAAGAGCTCTCATACCAGGTTTGGCAGGGAAGGGACTGGGCACTGGAGATAACTGGAGACTGAGCAGCAGGGTGGATGTGGAGGAGCAGATGGGAGAGGAAGGGGGTGTTGTGAGGAGATACATAAATTTCTTGAAACTTGTGTTTGTTCCAGAAATGTAAGTGCAGGCCTTCCGTTATTTTGAAATTAATTTTTGATTGTTAGATTATATTTGCATGATGATATCTTTATTTTGAGACAGACCATATGGGTCAAAATTTTTCTAATTAGTCTTAATAAAGTTATACAAATTCAAGTGAGACTAAATCACAATTCCAATAGCTTTTTGGAGAGATGACTAGGTAAAAACATTGCCTACAAAGAAAGATATCGATAAGAAAATTGTGTAGGTGTGTGATTTCCTAGTCCTAAGGTTGGTAAGACTTATGTGGGAAAAGTTTTAAAATGCAAAATCTTGGACCCCATTGGCTGCTTTTACTGCTGCTGTTTGGGCAAGGGAGTGTCTAGTGATCTGTTTATATCATTTTGATTCTCATGCAGGAAGTCTATGAACAAGCTCTTACTCAAGGCAACAGGCATCAGACAGGTCTGTGTGCCAGAGGATTCCTGTAGGTTAACCACAGAAATAGAGACTTAGCCGTATTCATTTGAAAAGCTCCAAGGAAAAGTCCTGACATTCTCTGTTATGTTCTTCCTAGTCACATTTACAGAGACATCTCACTCTCTGGGACTCTTACCCTTCTCACCTGTCTTTGAAATGTATAGATAAGCCAAAACAGTAGTTTTTCTTCTGATTTATAGAATAAGCATAAAAAAATCCTCCTCTGATCAAATCATGTTCACTAGAGCTGTCTCACCAATGCAAATTTCTATAAAATCTAAGCAGAACTAGTTTGTTCTAGTTTAATTTGTCTTAAAACATGAGTGCTGAAAAATAACAGGAGATATTTCACTTGCAGAAACTTTTGAAAAAGACTGCACTTGTCTAAGTAGAGGGGTTTCCTCAACTTTGGTTGATTAACCAGGTGACTTATTTTAAAACTGTACAATGGAAATAATTATCCTCATCTCCCGGTAGGACTTTGCCAGGGTTTCCAGAGTCACCATTGGAAGGTGTTAGGGCTACCCATTCACTGTGCCTAATCATAAAATGCCAAGGCAATTCAAAGACTACATTGCTTAATCTAGATTGTCACCATTCATTGTGTAGATGATATTGACCACGTCATCACTGAAGCCGGGCTTGTAAAGTGAAGCAAAACCATCATGAGATGCAATGGCTTTATGGCATCAGAATTATAACAAGCCAGAGGATCAACACTATATAAGCCACCTCCGTCTTCACATGAAAGTTGTACCCTTTGGGAAACACACATAATACTACTCAGGAGACAGTTGTATTGGCTGCTCAACCCAGGAGACATAGCAGGAAGATGTGCAAGCAGCCGGCTCCTTAGATACTCTGCACCTGCTGATCCTGTTTTCAGAAAAATAAATGACCGTGTCTTGCTGAAACTGGAGATAAGATATCTTGATGTCATCTTAAATTTCAACTCTAAGAACATACATTGCTTGTCTCGGTCACATTCTGCTAGGGATTAATAGGGTAAAGTGTTAGCAGTAGGAAGAGTAGATGGTAAAGGAAGAGAAAAGTAAAACTATTTAGTTTTGTGTAGTTGAACAAACTTCATTTAGAAGACTGATTCAGCCAGTCTCCCATGTGTTAACAGAATTCACATTTTGTGTATGAATTATTAAGGTTATTGAGTAAAGATGTCTAAGTTGTAAAACATAAAAATCAAGTGCCCAAATGTAATGAAATGATTTTTCAATGATTCTTCCTATTTCTGACTACAGAGATTAAAATATCCACACTGTAGAAAATTAAATAATGCAATACATTTTGAAGACAAAGCTATAGTGATGAGCACATTGACTTCCGATATCTGATAAAAAAATACCAAAAAAGGAAATTATCTATCAGCTAAACAGGCTTTGCTTTACATTCAGAACTACTGGTGATTTTCTCAGTTGTTTTTCTTACAGATTTGGTGGAAGTAGGTATAAAAGCTTAAGACTCAAACATGTACCACTTTCTAGATCTATAAGTCTCAAGTCTTTTATTTCAAGGGAAAAGGGTCATATCCAGTTTTGTAAATGGCACTTGACATTCCACTATCCCTACGACAATGCAGATGGCAGCATGTTTTCTGGATTGGGTGTTCTCCCATTGGCATCTAACTCATATGGCAAAAAGAAGAAAAATCACAAAACTAGATATTGAGTTGCACAACTCTCTGAAGCTGCCCATCTTTCTTAAAATAGTGGACATTTGGAAGAGCATGGTTTGAAGTGTATGATTTCTAATAATGACAGACACTCCCTAACCGGCGATGCCCCTCTGACCAGCACCGTGGATTCCAAATGACATCAGAAGAAGAGACTCTTGGATGTCAAGCTAAGGGAGTTGCCCATTTGGATACTGATATGGGACTTCACTTCTAAAAGTGTTGCTGGAACATTTCAAAGAGGTTACTGCCAGTATTACAAGCACATCAATGTGTAGAAAGGGAGCGTGGAAAGGGATTTCTGTGGTGCTGGCTGCTTAGGAGTTTGTCAACCACTGCCCTTGTTACAAGGAACTCAAACAAGAGTCACTACCTGAGAAAGCTTAGCACAGGGGAAGACCCTGCATTCCTGACCTCCACCTTTGCTGGCCTCCCCTCCTGTGGCCTTTCAGAAGTAACACTCAATAAAAGATGACTGATTTGGAAAAAGAAAATTGAGGGAAACTCTTTGTGTGAATTGAAAATGTTTTAGCTATATAAAATAGGTTGAGGGGAACTACCTCTGCTTTCGACCCTTAATCTTTTCAAAGACTGGCTAATACAGCAAAATTCTTGTCTTAAAAAAAGGCTCATACATTTTGATTCATACTGAAAGTGACTCACTTAAAAGGCCCATCAGTTCCTATTAAAGGTGTAGAGAATTTAGCTACTTGATGCATTCCTATTAAAATTTGCTACCTGGTCTTCTCTCTGAGTGAACAAGATGGGAAAATGTTTAGAAGGCGTCCACCATGGGGGTTCAGTGCTGAGGGCTCAGACTTCCATATAAAATTTCAGAGCAATCTCTTCAGCATAAAAATCAGACATTTTCTCTAGAAGGTGAGTTGCCCATAAAATGAGAGTTCTGTTTTCCATACATTTTCCCATGTATTTTTATTTTAATGAAGCAGCAGGAAAAGCCTTATGCTGAGATCTTGTGGGTTGTAAGTGGGTGTTGTTAAATTGCACTAGAGGTCCTACTCATGAATGACGACTTCTCAAAGAAATAAACAATTGCTCTTCTTAAACGTTAATTTCCCTTTCCACCTTACTTTCCATAGGATGGATTTATAGGCTTTTTAGCATTTATTGCTGCGGTAAATCTAGTTGTACAAGGAAAAATGGAGCAAAAATTAAAATGGTATTCTAAGTTGAAAGACGCTGATGGAAATGTTTAGATTGACAAAGAAGAACTAATGGAAATGGTGCGATTGACAAGAGGAACTACTGCACATCTTCATAGTGAGTGAAGTAGTAAGCTAGCCTTTGCAGGACATTGTATAGTTAATTCCATTTTCCTCCTATGAAGTTGGTGACAGTGCTTCTGTGCTTCAGTAATCTTGGGTCATAAATTTTGAATGGCTGAAACAATGTAAGCTCCATTATCCTATTGGTTACTGAGTGTTTAACTGCAAACTGGCATTTTCTTCTCAGTTCAGTCCATAGGGATATTTCCAAATTTAGCAAGAGTATTGAGATTAAAAATGAAATAGACATGATATTCTAAAACAACTTATCACATTCTCTGCCTTGGTGCAAAACATCTGGTGGGGAACAACTAAAATATAGGATGTTTTATACAGTAATAAATATAAATTAAGATTGAAGATTGCTTTCTGAGAACTAAAATACTAAAGTATTTTTAATAGATCGCTCAGGTAGTTCAGATCCTTGT